ATAGCGGCGAGGGTCTCGGCAAGGTTGCGACGGTGCGATGGCTGAGAGCCAGGCGAGAGCGGGTCGCTGAGGTCGTCGCTGGTCATGCTGTAACGCGAGCGAGTGAAGTCGAGAGACGTCATGCTGTTGTACTGGTCGGGAGTGATGGAGAACAGCTGCTCGTGCTCTTGCTCCTTGGTAGGTCCAGTGAGGTGAGAGTGCAATTGGTCGAGGTGCGAGCCAGAGATACCAGCAAGCTCAGAGCCAGACATGGTAGTCTTAGGCCAGGCCATGCCGGAAGGCGTAGGCTCGAGACCGGTGACGTGGCTGGCAATGAGACCTTGCTCGCTCATAGCGGTCGACACACCAGCATCCTTGAAGATGCTGTCGAGAACGGTAGCGGAAGCGGCACGAACCTCGTCGGGCATGCGAGGAATGGGAGGAGCGGCACCACCGGACTTGCTTGCGACAAAGGCACCGCACAGCAGGAGCATGAGCAGGAGGCCAGAAGCGACGGGCTTGTCCTCGTCCTTGCGGGACACAAGGGAGAGCTCTTGGTTCTGCTGAGGAGTGGGCTGGTCCTCGGAAGCGAAGTCGTTGACGAAGATGTAGTTGTCCCAGTCGCTGTTGCCCATGTTGAGGTTGTCCATCTCAGAAGCGAAATCAGTGAAGGTGCTGCTGGGTGCGGCAGCCATGCCGGTGCTGCTGGCAGCCTCAAGGCGCTCGGTGAGGACCGAGACCTTCTTGCGGAGCTCGCCGGTCTCGAGAGTGTGGTTGCGCACAAGCTCCTCCTTGTCGAACTGCAGCTGGTTGATCATGTGGTGCATCTCCATGGACTCATGGTGCCACTTCTCCTTCTCAGCGACAAGGGAGTCGTACTCGATGCGCATGGCGGCGAAGTCATCTTGCATTTGGCAGATCTTCTCCATCCACTGCTTCTTCTCCTCTTCGAGCTCCTCGGTGTGCTTCTTCTTTCGTTGCCGGGAGTCAAGTCTATGATGATGTTAGCTGATGAATAGGGAGAGGATAGACCAAGAGGTAGATTGGACCAAACGTGGAGCGTGGAACCAAGAACCAAATGGGAGTACGTACGCGGCCTGGCGGTTGCGGAGGAGTCGTTTTTGCTGCTTGAGCTCCTTGAGGTCCTCTTCGTTGGTGCAGCTCTGGATGAGGTTGTCGATGTTGACGAGGGTGCGCTCGGCCGGAATGTCGAAGCGGGCATTCTTCTTGCGGATGCCGCCGTCACGACGAGGGGAGAAGGAGCGGGGAGGGGTGTTGGGCCTCATGCGCTTGGGTCCGGGCCGTGCGTCCATCTCCTGCTGGTTGAAGGCCATCCAGTCGGAGTGGGTGTGGGGCGACATGGGTTGCTCTGGGGCTGAGGGGAAGACGGCACTAGGTCGGACGTTCTGGTGCACGGGGAGTCCGTGGAAGGGCATCTGCTGCTGCTCGACGAAGGGTGCCGCTCCAAAGTCACCGGGGCCGAAGGGGTTCAGCGGCTTGGGGGCTGTGGGCGTCCTGGAACCAGAGTTGTCGGTCACGGGCCATGACTGCTGTCCGTAGGTAGCAGCTTGGTTGGGTGGTAACCGGGCGAAGGGGTTGTTACTTTGCTCGGTGAAGAAGGGGTTGTTGCCGTTGGTGTTGACGACGGAGCTGGTGGCGGTGCGGTCGACAAACTGGCCGGCGGAGAAGTCCTCCCAGATGGAGGTGTCGGGCGAGAAGATGCCCTGGGTGCTGGTGGTGGGCGACATGAGGACGGGCGTGTCCAGGATGGCGGAGTCGAGGGTGGCGTTGTCGTCAAAGGAAAAGGCGGAAGGTTTCCTGTCGAGGTTGTTCAGTGTGGAATTCGGCCTGTGAAAATCCATGTGATGTGCGTTGTTGGAGTATTGATGGTCCATGGCGGGCCTATGTATCAAAGTACCGGTGTGGGCGCGGGACTGGCGGTGTGGATTGCTCTTTTCGGTAAAGGTGATCGCAGGATGTCCCCAGCGATTGTACTCAACTTCAACGGCGTGCGGGTATATGGGGCAGGAAGACGGGCAGCAGAGGCGATGCGCGTCTGATAGCGAGCGATGGGCAGGTAGCGGCTCAGTGAGGGTCTGGGTGGTGGCAGGTGAAGGTGGGAGAGGGGGCTTAAAGCATGGTAGGCTTCGGGCGGGGTGTGCAGGAAGCGCAAGCCTGCTTGAGCGCGACGACCGGGGTCACGCTTCCGTGGGATGCATCTGGGCACGAAACCGTGCAAGGCCCTGCGATAGGACGCCCCAATAGCGTCGGGTATTGATGCATCATTCCAGCACTCTTCCCAGCAGCGACTGGCTGGGGTTGTCCTGTCACGCCCGCCATGGGCCCATTCACCCTCCGCACCGATTACCCAGTGTTTGCCCTGGGGCCGGCGCTGCACGTCGCTGGACGAGCCGTCTGCGTAAGTGATGCTTTGCCGTTTGTCGCGCGCCCGCTGTCACGCATCTGGGACATGGCCTTCTGTCACTGCCGCCGTCTACCAGACATGGCGCTTGGTACGACAGCTGCCATGCCACAGCTTCGGCTGCTGCTCCCGTGCCGCCCTGCCTGTGCTCTGCGCTGCTGCACCGCTGCTCTGCCTGTATCGATACGCAGCATGACTGGCTAGCCTGCGCGGGCCGGCCCATGTACTGCCATATTCCACCGGACTGCCCCCATCGCGATGCGCCTATACCCTCCTCGGCTGCCCGCCGTGAAAACTCTGCTCGAAACAGTCAAGATGCGATGCGCGCTTGTCAAAAAAATACCCTCCCGCAACTGTGGGAATTGTTGTTTCGTCCTGGTAGCGGCGCATCGCGGGCTTACAGCGTAATCGCCATCATGACTACTGTCTGCTGAGCACGACGCGGCCCGCCTAAGCCCCGGCCGCCCTCACGCAACGACACCCCGTCCCTCACCACACTGACCACAGCCACTCGCAGACGGCAGTTGGCCGTCAGCCGACTCTGATCTCATTTCCCTTGCTGCGCAGGGTGAGCCCTCTTGGCCGCCTCGGTGCTCTTCATCATGGTGTCATCTGTCCAAGTTCCGGCGCCCTCTGGCGTCCGCGAGTCATCTCACCGCTCCCTGCCCGCACCACCCTTCCCTGTCTATTTTGGCTTTTCCACTACCGTTCCTGTACTTCCGTGGCCGCTCTCGTTATTATCGTGGGCAGTTGCTTCGTGCAAGGTACCAGGCGGCCGCCGCTCCGTCTGGCTGGACTCTTCTGCGTGCCCTTCAAGAGGCAAACACCGCAGCCACAGCCTGCCGTCCTGTGCCACCCTCGAGATCCGACTGTCTCTTTTACCGAGGGTCTGGAAACTCTCCAGATTTTCCCCGCCGATCATTGGTCACTTTTCGCAAATCCTTATCATGCTTGCTTGTTGCCGCTTATTATTCTTCCGCCGAGCATCATCGGACGGTTTGTCTCAAGTCTCGCATGATGCCCGTAGTAGGAAAAGTAGGACGCTGCGAAATCTTCATCTCCACCCCAATTACAATCTGCGCGCCGTAATAGAGCCTTGCTATGGCGGTTTGTGCACCCTGCCCGTGCCGTGCAACGCGTACTGCGGCTGCTAAGACATCCATCCCCAAGCCAAACTCTCCAGATCGCGTTACACCAAATCAACGCGCCGTCTGTCGGAAATGGCAACGCGTCATTCTTCTTGTTGACAAGCTAGGTCAACTCGCCGACGCGTAAACGCTGCTCGCGCTGCATCTGGATCGGCCGTGGCTGTTGATCCTCTCTATCATGGCGCGTACTGTGGCTCGCGTTACTCGGGGCCAGGGACTGCATACTAAACCGAATGTAATGCTCCACTTATTGCATTCGGGTGCTTCCGACCTGTCTACCCTGAGACGAGGGCTTCCAGTTGACCGGAATCCGCTACAGACGCTGATGCAAGAGGATCAAACAGACAGCATCAGAAACACGTTGAAGCCCAATCTCTGGGGCGCATAACATAATGGCCCCCATCATTCACGTCGACTAATCGTGTCTTTCAAAAAGGTGAGGCTGTAGCGGTGAAAGACCCACTCTCCGCATCCGCGCATGGACCATGATCACTAGAACCTCGCCGTCATAGTTATTCCTGTCGTAGGGAATGTCCACGATCGTTGACATCTTGGCAGCATGCACCGAGTTTTGTTCTGAAACAATGAGTCACTCGTCTTCTTTCTCCGCAGCCGGCTTTGGCGTGGGGCATGCATATCACCAGAAGCTTAGAGTACCGGCCGAGGACGGCAAGGGCGTGGAAGACGGTGGAAAAGCTAGAAGTCGAGGCCATTGTACCTTTACTCCATCGTAGTGGACCTGAAACACTTCGCGGGCCCGGTTACGCTTCCCGTCGGTCGTCCATTATTAAGCTAGACTGGCGGCCGATATCCAAGAACAGTCTATCGCACGTCTTGCTCCGATGTCGATCAATTTGCGGTGAAGAAGAAAGATTCTTGGATGTTCGGATCATTGCGGTGAAGAGATAGATTTGCTTGCTGAAACGGACGTGGTGTGTTTTGGAAATATGGGTAGAGTCTTCCATAGAGAAAGTGACGCGATGCTACAGGCGGAAGGGTAACCACATGCCTCTTCCTGTGCGATGGATGCCGAGCGGTCTTCCGTTATCTCGCGATGATGGGCACATCACGACCGCGCGAGCCGGATTTTGTGGTTGACATGTTGATCCAATGGAGCGCGGAACCGGGCAAGCAGCGGTGAGTTTCGGAATCGAAGAAAAGCAGCGAGCAAACATGTGAAGGAGGCTGAGTTGAAGAATGACGTTGCACACTCTTAGTTGCGCAACGTACTGTGAATTCGTAACTCCACGCGCTCGGGAGTACTGGGTATCTCGGTTCAAAGCTATGGACATTCTGTGTTCAACATTCCCGTTGTAGTGTAGATAGGGAAAGCACTAACCTTTGTGTCTCCTTTCAAACGCATGGCCTCCGCTTCCCTTGCTTTTGTCGCGTGTTCGTGGCTGTTGCCGTCTGACGTGATGAGTCATAGCGTTGTGTAAGCAGCTCTGTTCTCATATTCCTCCGTTGTCGTCCCTGGCCCACAACTTGACAGTGCGATCTTTGCCTCCACTGACGATCCAAGACGCGTCACTCGTCACGTCGGTACTGAAAACAGGACCTGAGTGACCTTGAAGTGTCTTGCAGTGTGCCCAGTCATCTGCCGAGAAGATCTGAACGTTCTTGTCAAAGCCTGACGAGATGACAAACGTAGAGGCTTTCTTTGGTATGACTTCTCCTTCACTATTCTCCTGTAGCGGCACTTCGCTGGCTGGCCCATCTGTACCCTTAAACCATCGAAGGTCTGTGACACCTCCTGTGTTGGCTGCAATTGAGTTTGTTTCTCTCATCGCTCGAACGTCCCAGCACTTCATGAAACCGTCACCTGAACCGGACAGAAGGCGATGGCCGTCCGTTGACCAGTCGAGACCGTAGATGGGCTTGATGTGGCTCTCCAACATGTAGATGACACGACCTGTACGCACATCCCACACGCGGCCGATGCTGTCAAGACCAGCACTTGCAACCAATGACCCATCACCGCTGAAGCTCACGGTATAGACTTCCTTTGAATGACCCTCTTGCATGAGAAGCTCTTGACCGGTGTTGACGTCCCAGAGTCGCCATGTCGTGTCGTCGGAAGCGGAAGCCAGGTATTGTCCCGACGGATGGAATGCTACTCTGCAGACGCGGTCGGTATGGCCTTCGAGGGTGCGCAGGGGCTTGTCGTCATCTAGCGACCAAAGCTGAATCTTGCCCCCTGCTCCGCCAGATGCAAAGTTTACGCTTGAGCTTGAGACGTTACTACCTTGTAATGTCGCGCCTGGCATCCAGTCTATGCCAGTAGCACGCTCCGTGTGTCCACCACGATATGCCTTCTTCTGCTCCAAGCTGGGAATTTCCAACAACGCGACCTTTCCACCCCAGGTACCGTATGCGACATACTTGCCGTTGGGCGAGACGCGCACAATGCTCACTGGACGATCTGCAGTTTGCGACCCGTACAGCTCGAACCCCTTGAGACGGTCTTTGATCTTGTTCCGGAACTCGACGTGGGTTTTGAGGGGAATGGTAGCTTCGCGACGCTGGAACGCGACCCGCTCCTTTGCGCGGGGTAAAGAGTATTTGGCCATGTTTCGTCGCGCGTCCAGTAGCGCCTGCGTGCCTTGGGTATAGAACTCTTCCTGCTCATCACCTGGGGCTTCCTCCGCATCTTGCATGTCCACGTCTGCCGCATCTTCGCCTAGTGCTTCTGCTGCCTCTGCAAGCAAAGCTCGGAGTCGGTCGCGTCGCTCAGAGGGCCCCTCGCCGAATAGGGTGATGGGCTCACCTCGCGATCGCAGCTTTGCTTTGACATCGCGGTCGGCGGTCGGTACGATTAACTGCGCTGCTCGTCGTTTGCGGTCGAAGTCCTCCATAAGGGAATGGGCCGACGCGTTTCCTCCACCGGGCATAGCATGGTTACGGTCGAGTGGGACACTGGAAAGGTCGATGCCCTCCATCGGGTCAGCCTGGAGGCTGGGGTCAGCTTTTATGCGAACAGAAGTTGCGACTAAGCTCCGAAGCGCGTGATGCTTCTGCGCCAGTCTATCGCTGCAACTCGGGGTACGTACCGGGCCATTCTCCTCTTCAACATAGGCTTGTCGCGCCGGGTGCATGCTCATCGTGACTACGGGTCCCGCGGCGGGGAAGGGTGTTGGTGCTCGGGGGGAGTATCTCGAAAAGAAGTTCCGAGCCAGACCACGGGTTTAGGCGATAGGGCTGAGCTAGCGCCGGTTATGTCATACTCCGCGTTTGAGACGAAGCTTGAATCACCTGCAGTGTTTGGTCTAGACGAATATGCTCTGCAGGTAGAGACCAGATCTCAGTAAAACAATGCCTTTCTGTTATCCCCAGTTTGCTATTGGGGTATTTCTTGCTATATCTACCCAACAAGCATGCTTCAGATAATTGTAAGTACTCCACGAACTAGCCGATCGGCAATGACGACGGCCAATGTGATTTCTTAGCCCAGAAGTCCCTTTTCCTTCAACATAATTTGTCGCAGAGGTACGGCACCGCCAACGGGCGCTGATTCTGCTGCCAATTCCCACGTACTGACTCCCATCTCCAGGCTCTGGCTGTGGCCATGTCATTTGCGATTACCAGCGCTGCGGGCCTTGCGCGACTTCCACCTGTGTCGCGACGCGCCTCATCTAGTGGCCTCTTCCTGTTTGCTCTCGCCGCATCTCCATTGGCAGCGCCTGCCTCGTGCAGTCGAACAACCGGCCTTCATTCCCAGCGCATGCCTTCAAATTTCGCACAACCAACCTGCCCGCTGAACAGAGATACATCTCTGGCCACTGTCGGCTTACGATCCTTTCACTCGACTTCACACAACTGGCGGAGTACGCCGCAATATACATACCACGTTGCGGCATCCTACTCAGCCAAGCAGGATCGCTTCAATGCGGAGCAGAATCTGTTTACACGACCGCTGCATGACCCCAGCAGTAGCAAGGTTGAAGACCTGCGCGAATGCAAGGAGGCCATAGACAAGCGGAAACGAGCGAAAAGTGGCCAGGATGCTTTCTTTTTCAGCCAGGTGGGAAACACAAATACCACAACATTTGGTGTTGCAGATGGAGTAGGAGGATGGGTCGAGTCTGGATTGGACCCCGCCGACTTCTCTCATGGATTGTGCGAGTATATGGCTTGCGCCGCGCGCTCATGGCCGCACGGATTCAACACGACAGCATTACACCCGAAAGACCTGCTCCAAATCGCGTACGACGAGGTCACGGACGATGACACCATTGAGGGCGGTGGTAGCACTGCATGTCTGGCTGTTGCAGAACCTGACGGCAACGTCGAGGTAGCCAACCTGGGAGATTCAGGATTCATGCATCTGGGTCTTAATGCAGTACGACATTTCACGCAGCCCCAGACGCACGCCTTCAATACCCCGTATCAGCTTTCCAAAACTCCCCAACGCATGCTCGTGCAAATGGCTGTATTCGGAGGCCCATCCACACTCTCGGATTTACCAAAAGAGTCGAGTATAACGCACCACAAAGTACGCCATGGCGACGTTCTCCTCTTTGCAACCGATGGTGTGTGGGACAACCTGAGCCCACAGGATGCGCTCGGTATTGTCAGTCGTCACATGGTCGACCTGGGTGCTTGGGTCGAGAAAGATGGCACCATTGAGGTTGGACAGGATCTAGCGAAGCTGGTACAGGCCGACTCAGCTCGTAAAGCTGATAGCTCCTCCCTCCAAGCCAAGGTGGCTGTTGCGATCGCGAAGGAGGCAAAGGTGACGGGGCTTAACACTCGTCGGGATGGCCCCTTCGCCAAAGAAGTACAACGATACTACCCTGGGGAGAATTGGCATGGTGGCAAACCGGACGACATTGCTGCCGTGGTAGCTGTCGTGCTTGAGGATGCACCGCAGCGCGCAAAGCTATGATTATATGCATTAGATCTCTGTTGTTTGGCTGCATGGGTAGGCGATGGCGTTTTGGAGAGGACTCAGGCACGGAATCGGAGGCGTGTCTGCGCATGCCACTATGGGTTGGCAATCGTCTTAGCGTATGAAATTCAGTGGTGGTTACGAATGTTTTAAGACTAGATAGCGACATCAAAAGATCGTTCAATTCATTAGGCCTTACGATACACCTCTTGTATAAATACAGAGAGTGGATCTGAAGCTGGGTGTGTTTAGATCACGGTATACATTTGTTGTGGTTCTGTGTCAAAGTAAATCTCGAGTTTGTATATTTCGTACGACATGGCCCTCAAGATGAGGCAGTCAGCCCAACTTTCATATGATAATGCATGCATCCACTGTAGATAACGTAGACTATCGGCATCTAAGAAACAGTCTTGGTCACTACGTTAATCACCTATGGACAAGCTAGGTACTGATGCTACCATGTCTTTCTGATGACAGCAGGGTCATACGTCAAAGCACTAGTTGTGCTGCAACGTCTAAACGTCAAGACAGACAGAATGCACAGGCAGGCCTAGTCTTGCATAGCGAAGCAGCTTTGACGTCAAACGTGTGGGGCATTTTGCAGCATGGTGCCTCGGCTGTTTGTTTATCGCAGTTACCTCAGCAACGCGGCCACGCGAGTCTCAGGATTCGCGCGCTACCTAAGTATCCATGAACGCCAACTTCACCCCATCTTTACCACGAAATCGCCCGCCCACCTTCCGGATGAATGCGCAACTAACCCTTAGCTAACAATCGCTATCCACGTAACCCGACGAGCACATAGAAAGCAACGCGCTTGCCGAATCTCGACGCGACAATCGAATGGCTACACTTTCTCCCACGCCCTCCTATGGGCGCATGCGTGCGCATTCCTCAATACGACCCAGGAGAGACTCTCCGCTATCCGTACTGGGGCAGTCGCAGGGCTTCTCAGCGGACGCGCCTATGATGCAGAACATCAACATTGGCGACAGCTCCGATGACGAGATACCACAACCCATGAAGCTCAGCGCTTTGACGACGGCACTTCTTGCGCAAGGCAGTGACGTCGACTCGCCTGAGAAGCGGAAACCTAAGCTGAAGATATCGCGCAATGCCTCTGGCTCCAACACGCCAGTGCAGGATACCGTCACACCTGCACCAAGTCTGCGAATAAAGCGAGTGCCACTACGAGGTGCGCCGATGAGACGGTTTCGAAGGACGCCTCAAAGCGAGGAGGAACATCATCCCTCTCAAGACCAGGAGAACATGCCCATCTCCGCGGTCAAGTCGCAGCCTGAGAATGTCCCCGATTCCGTCCTGAAAGTTACCGGTTCCGTCATGAAGGTTGCAGAGGATCGCCATATGCAACCACAGCCGGAGCACCAGTCACCGATACAACGATCTTCGCAGCAACAAGAAAAGCAGATGCCGCTCCAGGCGCTGAGCGCGAACACTCCACGACGACCAGCACCTCCGCCACCGCCGAAGATGTCAGTGTTGGAGACGGCGACTACTGCTGCCGGAGCAGCCACAACAAAGACAAGAGAAAGAAAGAAGAGGAGCACACTATCAGTCAATGGAAAGCATTATTCGCAAATGGACAGGATAGGAAGAGGAGGCAGTTCGGCCGTATACCGCGTCATGGCAGAGAATTTCAAGCTTTTGGCGCTGAAGAGAGTCAAGCTTGAGGATGCAGACGAGGCCACTGTACGGGGCTTCAAGGGCGAGATCGACCTCCTGCAGAAGCTGAAGAACGTTGACCGCGTTGTGCGACTATACGATTGGGAGGTCGATGAGCAACGTCAAGTGCTGAGTGTGGTACGTGTATTATGAAACAAGGCAAAGTTCTATGCTAACATGCACCAGCTCATGGAACTCGGAGAATCTGACCTCGCCCGTATAATACGAATGAAGCTCGATCCCGCCGACGGAGACGGCAAACTAGACCTAAGCTTCACACGCTACTACTGGAAGGAAATGCTCGAATGCGTCGGCGCAGTACACGACCACGACATTGTCCACTCTGACCTAAAACCCGCGAACTTTCTCCTCACCTCAGGTCGCTTAAAGCTCATCGACTTCGGCATTGCCAACGCCATCGAAGTCGACCACACCGTAAACGTGCACCGCGACTCGCACATTGGTACCCCAAACTACATGTCTCCAGAGTCGCTGGAAGACTCAGCCGGCGGTGCCCGAGGCCTACTCTCCAACGGCAACGGCTCCAAAGACATGGCCCTCGGCAAACCCTCCGACGTCTGGAGTCTAGGCTGCATCCTCTACCAGATGGTCTACGGCCGCCCTCCCTTCGCACACATCACCAACCAAATGGCGCGCGTCCTCGCCATTGTAAACCGCGACTACAAGATCGAAATCCCCGACCTCGGCGTCGGCGATGTCCGCGTCCCTCCCGGCCTCAAAGCCACGCTCCGTCGCTGCCTGCAACGCGATGCCTCGCGCCGACCAAACGTAGCCCAACTCCTCGACGAGCGAGACCCTTTCCTCTACCCCGACGGCGGAGAAGACCTGAGAATACCACAGGAACTGCTCGGCCAAATCATCCAACGGGTCGCAGATCGGTTTAGAGATCCGAATAAGAGCCCGCCTACCGACGATGAGATTCGTCAGTATCCAGCGAGTTTCTACGAGAAGATTAGACAGTTGCTGGAAAGCGATTGAGCTTTGTCTTTCTTCTCTTTGTTGTACTCTTGTCTATTCTTGGTGCTTCGTTTGCGGGCATCGGCATGTACATACACGCCTTGTTTTCTTTGTCTCTTTTCCCATCATCATCATCATCATGACGACTCGGCGCTGGGGTTTCTTTGCTTATCTCCATCTTGGGTTGTTTGTTCTTGCTGCTGTCAGCAGCTACATTCTTGGTACCCACTTCTGTTCGCGCGGTATCGCCGCTTTTTGAGCGTTGAAGCGTCGCCTTCCTTGCCAGGGTGTTCTATTTGTTTGGAAAAGGCGCATTGTCTCTTTTCGTTGGATGAACTCATGAATGGCGGTCTCACTCTAGTCGCATACGGTTTCCTTGGTTCGTTGTATATACCCGTGTTGGAGAATTGGGGAAATCGATTCTTTTAATCGTTTATTGAATGACTTGATGCTGCTGCTGCTTATGATATCGTGTGATGGTTCATGTGTAGTGCAAGAACAAGACAGCAGACGTTGGGCGGGCTGAGATGGTTTGCATGTTCGCGTCTG